CACCTTAAAGTGGTCTGTTTTCTTTATATATATATATATATATATATATATATATATATATATATATATATATATATATTTGCTTATATATATATATATACTTTGCCTGAAGTTTGTTCTATTTTTGAATCTCCACAAGTTCAGAAATGTTCATTAAGACATGCATCAAACTGAACACAGATTGCATTAACTAAAACAACATTTTAATCGTTGTGTGTGTATATCCGCCATAGTTTTGATTTTGTACGGGTGGCTGATGTGATCAATATCATTATGTTATTAAAAGCTCTTCCATTCATCAACAGATCGATAATTTCAAGTATTTTTTGATTGCCTCTCTATTTAATATCGATTGGGAACCAGAAATATTGATCACTTACTGTTTATTCTTGTATTTTTATTTTTGGTAATGTGCATGTTTGTATTTTAAAGTGCCACGTCATCATCAACCTCGTTTTGCAAATCAAATTGAGTGAATGAATGACATTTTTGGCTTGCTGAATATGTTATTTTATTCTGCTTTTTTTTTTTTTTTTGAGAACAAATGATGGAAAATATTCTGCTGAAAAGTAGTATTGTCATTAAAGAAATTTACGGACTCGTAAAGCAAAAGAGAAAAAAAAAAAAAAAAGGATGAGGCCAAAGAGTTTAAGTAGAGAAAAAAAGAACTGAAAACTGAACAGACAGAACGAATAAGCATTTGAGATTTCCGAGCAGTGGAGAAAAATGTGGTTAAAGTCAATTAAAGAAAACAACGAAAGGTTTAATTATCTATTAAATTTTGAAAGTGTGAGTGGTTAGCTGCTAGAAATGAGAAAACGGTAAGCCGGGTTCGAATTCCAGCCGAATTTATTACATTCACTTTCAAACAAATATCTTTAGTAAAAGATAAGAATTAATCTCTACTCACAGCTGTGACTTAATTAGTAGGGCAGTCTTGATTGGAAGTCTAGGAGAAGGAACACTCTGAATTCCCAAACCAGGGTAGATTGAACTTGTTATCATGGGAACACGTGGTTGTCTAAGGGAGGGAAAACCCCAACAGAAAACACAACTTTCCTTAGAATACAAAGGTTGGGCGTGGGGCAACACACCACCCCATGGATTAATTCACCAAACAGCTTAAATTTAGGTTAGTTTGGTAAAAACCGCAAATATTAAACACCGTATGAGTATCGGAATTATTATAATCTTTATAAATAGCTTAGATTACTTTTAATTTTCGCGCCGCCTGCTACCACTTCAATAAACATATTGACACTTTTGGTTAGGCAAAGGATAGGGGAGATAACTCCAAGCACATCCGTGCTGCATCTACATGGAGGTAGATCCCAACCGGTAGATACTGTCTAGCTAATTACTTCAATCGAATCAGCTGTTGGTCGTCTCGGGTTTTCCGTGCCACTGGTTTTCAACTGTTCAGATCAAGGTAGTGCTGCTACTGGTCTGTGCATTCCCCCTACTCAGCACTCTAGACTCTTCTGCGCAGGTTGCTATATTTATTCTTCTTAAGAATGAAGTGGAAATGTTATTGACGATACGAGTTTGACGAACTCCCCTCCCACGCGACTGATTGATTAATGATCTACAAAACTTGATTGCTGGATTCCAAATCGACGCGTCCGTATTGATTTATGGCGGGCGAATCTAGCTTACCAATCCTTGCTCTATGATGAAACATCCAAGACAGGAAAAGTGATATCTCAGACGAAATATAAAACGCCTAGGAATATTTGATGGCCTAAGATGTAAGCCATAGAAAATATATCTTCGTTAATAGAAATTCATTCGTTGCCTAAATTAAACATTAGGCATTTTATAAATTATCTTTGAGAAAAAAATTGCAATTATCGATCAACTAGTATTATTATTATTACATAGAACTATCGCACCCGACCGAAAGTTACTGCCAGCTACTCAAACGTCTAAAAACGTCACCACGGAAAACAGAACGAATCTTATGCGATAGTCCTTCTACCAAGCCGAACTTAGCAGCAGCAGTATCCCGCGCCGAGGCTAGCCGAATCTTATGCGATAGTTCTTCTAAGGACTACCAAGCCACATCTTATGCAATCGTCCTTCTAAGGACTAACTAACCGTCTTACATGAGATAGTCCTTCTAAGGACTACCAAGCTGCATCTTATGCGACCGTCATTCTAAGGACAAACAGGCTACCTCAGCACTGCCTTCGCCGATCGTCTCTTTTCGTGAACGCCGACGCGGTCCTCTTAAAGGCGAACATCCGAAGATCGACTGGGCCTCGAAAACAGCTGTTCCATCTGCCTGCCTCTGGACTGCCGCCTTGAATCAAAACAATCCTTTGACTGGCACTCCCTGACTTCCCGATTGAACTACACCAAGCACTTCCTGTACATACTTTCGCCAGACTGATGGGTATATTGGACTTTGCATATTTGCAAATAAACGTCACATTTTTAGGGTGCTGCCCTCTTACTCAATAATAATAATAATAATAAATAAATAAATATAATAATACTAACAACAACAATAATATTCAAGGCATATAATAATGATCAATGTGTATTTATATATTGTCCTATCAGTAGTGGGAAGGGAGGTAAATCAACTTGTTAGTAAATTTTTGAGTGAGTAAATCAAATTGTGAATAAATTCATCACTTAGTCCTTTTAATAATCTATAAATATAAAATATTTATCTGCATTTATACAAAATTAATTTCCGAACAAAATGAACCATTTAAATAATCAGTTCCTTTATTCTTATATGTTCTAGTCTTATTTATTCATATCTTTCATACGAGGTACTTTTTATCTATAAAGTTATCATCTTGCTTCAACTTAGTCTTGAAATAGGCTTTCTATTGCTAATCTTTTTCTTTTGAGACGTATTTCTATTTCACTCTTATATTAAATACATAAAATTTTTAACAGAAAAAAGTTATTGAGCTAAAAGTGAATTATATAATACCGAAAATAATCAATGAATCATATATAGCATTGAACATCTGGAAAATATAAAGAGAACAGATTAATCAAATGATTTATTGGCCTCTATTTTGGTTGTGAATTATTTATCTACGCTTTATTGAATCTCAATACATTGTTTCAAAACTTTTGTTTCATTGCATCTCGCTATTAAAACTTTTTAACAAATGCCAACATTTTTGATGGCACGGATACACAAGTCATAATTAATTTGTTTTACTTTATCAAATGATTATTATTGTTATATTTTTAATGCACAGGATGACAACTTCATGTGCATTTCATATATTTGCATTAATATTTACGTATATATTTTCAGTATTCTATATAATAATATAAACATAACATTTTTTAATACTGTTATTATTTAAAATATTCTTGCAATTATCAAACTTTTGCTAAATAGTTACATAAAAATAAAACACTATCAACTTACTTAACTGATAAAAACTTATCCTCTCTTACTGCTTCCCATATCTGTATCTTCTTTTTCATTCCTTATTAAATCCCATTGCAATTCTTTAAAGAAACATTGTGCATATAATTAAAATTCATACTATTTATATATTTTCATCATAGAGTATTTTACAGAAGTGCACCGGATGTGATACAAGGTTGAAATATTTACACCATAAGTATCTCGTCGTTATCCATGAAGATATATTGACAGAAAATCTGTTTACATCATCAGGTCTTTTTCTTGAATTTACTTCTTCTTGTGATTGCTGTTTTGAATCCCCGTGTGAGTATTTTTACAGACAGTTATTATGATATATTTTTCTTTTTTTTTTTTTACTTCTAAGAGTCTCATTTTCTCCTTCCGCAGGCGATTTCTTTTTTTTTCAGGAAATATTTTAGCATTTGTATTGTTTTTCACTCTTAATTAAAAACTGTTTGGAGAATCACTTTTTGTCCACAATATTCTCGATGCGCAAGCCTGGATAATGTATGAATTAATAAATCTAAAAATTGTATCGGTTTCTCCTGATGCAATTTTCAAATTTATTAATGTGAGAACCTACTGAAAAGAGACGTCGATCAACAATGGCTGCACATGCTGATAACTTCGTATGCATTTATCAGAATATATTTGCATTAATATTGACGTATATATATTCAGTATTCAGTTTTCTCCCTTTAAAACTAATCTAGAACGAAATAATAAAAATGAAGACACCTAAAATTAATCAAATAAATTTTACTGCTGTGGCCCTTCAGGATGTAAATAGATACTACTCTCCACAACTTCCTTTTATCTGTAAATTGTCAAGACCTTCTTGCAAAATGTAGTGGAGTGATTTCTTATTCTTTTCTCCATGATTTTGAATTCAGAGTATCTTTCTTCAAGACAGGCATCCACCCATGGCTAAAGTGTTCAGTCCATTTAACTCATAGCTGGGGCAAGGGAAGAGAGTTGGATTGATATCTTTTCTAAGAATATTAGAGCAAAAGGAATTCAACAGACGCACTACCTCTATTTTTTTTTTACCAATAACCACATATACTTGTCAAATAATAGCACTCAAAATATCAGAACTTGAGACAGTTAAATGTTTCAGCAGATGAACAGACACTTGATAAAACTGAAGGAAATGTTCAAGCAAAAGTGAAGAAGTTACTATGCATTCGTGCAATATATAAATTCCTTGTCAAGAAGAGACAGAAAAAATATATGTAAAAATAGATGTGTAATATTTAGAAATGTAAAATGCACACGTAAATGCATATAAATATGCATGAACGCAGAAAAATGCTATTCTAATATGCACATATTTCCACACAGATATTCGTGCGTGTATTTGCTTTAACGTCTATGTTTATTTGTAAATCTACTATTAATAGTGTTTGGGAATTTAAATATTTACATGACCATAGCCAAAAACTGATTAGAGAAAATCCACAAAAATTGAAGTCAACCATAGTTTTCTTCAAAAACATCGAAATCATTCGAACAATTAAAGAACAGATAAAATAACAAGGAACTAATAATAAAAGTTATGAAAGAAAAAAAAGACCACAAAAAAGACCCCCACCTAAAAAAAAGAAATCGAATGAAAAAAAAGAAAAGAAAGGAAACAGAAGGAAATAAAAATGAATAAAAAATCAGAATGTGAACTAACAAAAAAGATAGAAAAAAAAGAATAAGAAAGCTCCAGAAAATTATAAGGAATAATACGAAAAAGAAAAAAAAAGAAACAGGGAAATGAAATTAAAAGAAAGGCGAGAAGGAAGAGAAGAAATGAGAAAATGAGAAAAAGGAAAATGTCAGGAAAAGTAAAGAAGTAAGGAAAAAGAAAGAAAAAGATTAATAAATGTAAGAATCGATAAAGAAAAGAAGGGAAAATGTAGAAGGAAAGAGAATAGACAAAGGAAAGATAAAGAAAGAAAAAAAGAAATAAACAAAATAAAGTAGGAAAACAGGGAATAAAAAAAGTGTAAAGAAAGATATTAAAAAAGAAAACATTGAAATATGAATGAAAAAATCGAAAGAAAATGAGATCATCAAAGAATAAAAAGGAAAGTAGAAAAGATGGGGTAAAAGAAAAAAGAGAATGAATAAATAAGGCAAATACCAAAGGAAAAAAAAAACTACTATAGTGAGAAAAACAGAGAGAAGAAAAAAGATAGATATAGCAAAAGAGAAAAGAAAAAGAAATAAAAAAGGAAGGAGAAACGAGATAAAAAAAACTACAATAAGAAGAAAAAAGAAGAACATAGTAATAAATATTGAATGAGAGAGAGAGAGAGAGAGAGAGAGAGAGAGAGAGAAAGAGAGAGGTAGAGAGGGGGAGAGAGGGGGGGAGAAAACAGAGAAAAAGGAAATAAAAAAGAAAGCAAAAGGCTTTTATCTTCTCTCTGCTCTTCGTGGGCATTTGCCTTGACTCTGACGTTGGCCTCGAGAGTACATGACGGCATCCCTGATCGTTCAGCAATTGCTTCTCCTTCCCTCTCAAGTTTGTTTGGTCGGCATGCAATGCAGTGACACCTCGAACACGTATTATTCGACCAGAGGAACCCCACGAGGCATTTGCAACCTGTCAGCCGATTGCAAAAGCTAAAATGGTTCTGGCAGACGAACACGGCAGAGACACACCAACAGAAAACAAGTTAAAAAAAGAAAAGAAAAAACAAAAGAAAAAACAAAAAAACAAAAGGGAAAAATGAAAAAAAAAGTTCGTCTGAAGCGAATGTTCTCTGCTCCATAAAATGTTCACTGAAACAGAAGAGACTAAATATAGAAATAAACTGTAAAAAAAAAAGAAACAAATAACCACACAAGATGAATTTGACGTGTGCAGTTGTAATACTACTACTATTATTACTACAACCACCACCACCACCACTACTACTACGACTACTAATAATAATTATAATAATACTGATAATAATAGTGATAACGAATTGAGTAACTTAACCCACAAACAGTAGAAAAATGTCATGATTGGATGGGAAGGGGTTCCATCGAGGAATGTGCAAAAGTCTATACAGACAAATATACGCAAACTATAATGGAAGTTATAAATGTGCAGTTGGTGTACTTTAGGCTAGGAACAAAAAAAAATAGGCAATCCTGCTTTGAATTCCAGCCGTTACATTCCCTTTTGCGCAAATGCACTTAGGAAATATATGAATCAATGTCTTCATTCCCCAGCTATGGGTTAAATAGTAGCGCAGACTGGGCCCTTCATCTTGGTTGGCAGCCAGTCTAGGAAGGGGAGAACTCTGAATTAAAAACCGGTTTGGGTATTGGGCAAGCAACTCTCCATCTATTGAAAACCTACTTGCTATGCGAACAAGAGCAGCAACCCCGGTTGAGGCCATGACCTGATACACCACAGTGTAGAGCGAGTGTGTGTGTGTATGTGTGTGTGTGAGAGAGATAGAGAAAGAGAGGGAGAGAGATTGGGAGATATCATATACAAATCTATATCATACTAATAGTGGGTAATCAAAAGACAATTTCTGAAAAACACAAAATTAACGAGTTTCGTCCTTAGAAGGAACTTCAAAGTAATCATAGATTTATTGAGAATTATATATATATATATATATATATATACATATATATATATATATGCGTGTGTGTGTGTGTGAGAGAGAGAGAGAGAGAGAGTATGTGTGTACTGTGTGTGTGTATACGTGTTTCTAAGCAAGAAAAAAAGGATAACCGATGGAGCAAAAGGTTGGGTGATTGGTATTCAATTAGTTCAAAACATAGTCGAAAGTAAAAAAGACTGATATAAATTGCAGAGAAGCAATAAAAGGGAGTTGACGACTGAGATAAGCTCAGTCAAAGTCATCATAGAAAGACATGAAATTTTCCCTTCTTCACAATGAAAGTTTAGATGAGAATATGAGGAATTAGTAAATATATAAAATAGTTTCGGAAACTTCGATTTTAAAATGCTAATTAGGTGAAAAATAATTTTATTTGAACAAAATATACATTAGAAGAACAAAACCTGATTTCATTTTTATATATTTATTTTGAGGTTCATATGCTTAACGCGAATCACGATTTGTGTCGCTCATGTCATTTCACTGAAATTAATTTTTTTTCCAGTGACGCCAATTCATTGGAAAAATATGTCAAAATAAAAGTTTTTCAAATTATATATATATATATATATATATATATATATATATATGTGTGTGTGTGTGTGTGTGTGTGTGTGTGCGTGTGTGTGTGTGTGCAGTATCCTAGAGTCAGACATGGCTAGATGGTTCTTCAGTTTTATTGATAAACAGTTGGAGTGTAGGATTATAAATTTGGTGTTTTTTAGTATTTTTAGTGTTTTTTGTTTTTTCTCGTGGATTTTGCTTGCCTACTGGATTCCGAGCATTGAGGATGAAATGACGCCGGCATTGAAGAAGTCTCAATGTTTTTCAATGTATTTCGCTTCTTCCTCAAGGTTTTCTCGTCTGCATATTGTAAGGGCTCTGAGGTAAAAAAACCAAAAAACCAAAAAAAACAAAAAACAAAAAAAACTATGATTAGTCTTGATTTCATTTTTTGAGTGTGGTGGGAATAGAAATTTTTGCTTGTAAGTATCCAGTAAAATTTCATATCTAATTTGTTTTTGTTTCAGATTAGTAGGATGTGGAGGAAGAGGAGGGTTTTATTTATTTCATGCTCATGTGTGAATTTGAGGGTTGTTCTACATTATTGAGGTTATTTATGATGTGTGATAGATGTAAGTTGTGGGGATATATTAAAAGGACGTTATCTACGTTTCTGAGGTAACTGGATTTTTTAGATATAATGTGTCAGATTATGGAAATTCTAGAAAAAGACGAAATTATACCGCGCTCATATATATATATATATATATATATATATATATATATATATATATATATATATATATGTCTGTCTGTGTGTGTGTCGGTAAAAAAGTCTGTGGTTAAGTAATCCAAGTAGATTAATTATAAATATAAAATTTTAAAACTAGTCAACAAAAGAGAGCTCAATATAATTATTTTTATAGAGCATATAAGTGAATTCCAATTAATGACTTCCAAACTATTTACCTCATACAAATGATCATTTCGTCCATTTTTTTTAGTAAATGTATTTGCCATTGGTAAGTCCAGGAAAAACAACTCTTTTCCGATGGACGAAATGACCATCTGTACGAGGTAAATCGTTTGGATCTCATTAATTGTAATTCATACTCACACACACACACACACGCGCACATACACACTCACGCACACACACGCGCGCGCGCACATACACACACACACAAATATGTATGTGTGTGTATGTGCGTGTGTGTGAGTGGGTGTATTGATATAATAGGAAAGAACTGTTAGATTGATGAACTCGAGTTCTTTTGTATTTTTTTATTTAAAAAACAACTCTCGATACAGAAGTATATATATATGGATCTACTTTCTCTTGAAACTTGTAAAAAACAATAATTTCACAGAGGATGCATAATAAATCCGGAGCTTGCATTTTACGGTATTTCAATATATAATATTAAATTTATTCATTAATATCCTTCGCAATTAAGTTCGTTGACAAGGAAGGTGATTATGTTTAAAATCAACCATTTCTTTTGTAAACTATATATTATTTGATAATTCGTCTTATTACATACGTAACTACACGCACACACACACACGCACACACACACACACATATATATATATATATATATATATATATTAAAGAACCTATCAAATAATTGGATTCTATCTGTGCAGCATTTGTTTCGAGTAGTGAAATGATAAGGCACGGCCATAATTCCCTGAATCACGATGATATGATTTCCTCGTTCCATATCTAATTACAAACCAAGTTCGACGTTGCTTGACGGTGAGCGAACGAAAGTCGGTGCGTTTAGTGTAGCTTAAGTGTAAGTTCCATGCTACTCAGAGTTCACATCCAGTCGCACTAGCTTTGAATCCCTACAAACAATGACGCTGACAACATCGGGTTTCTAGCGGTTGGCAAGGACCAACTCATCTGACGCAGTATGTTTGATCAAGTGTCGAATTTTCAAATATTAAACTATTATAACAAAAAACGACGTGACAAATTTTATATGGAGACCCCACCACTGTCTGACAAACCTTTAAAGATTTTTGTAAATTGACTAGAAATATTCAGAGAACACATTGGATTTATAATTCATGGGTAGTTAGGCATTTAGAAGCTGTCAGTCAAGTGGGTGCCAAAATATCTGAATGCCAACAGAAACAATATTGATTGGACACATCCATCTTCATTTTACAACCTTTTCAAAAGTCTACTGATAATATTTTGGAACCATTTGTCACTCCATGAAACATGGAGTAACAAATGTGATGCGAAAACCAAACAGGAGTCCATCGAGTGACGACAGTTGAGGTCTCCATGGCGGAAGAACGACACAAACGTCTGTAAAAAAAGTTATGGCTGTGTTTTCTGTTTTTTGATCAGTTAAGCATTTTCATACACGAAACTTGTGAAAGGCCAAAGAGTTGACACAGAATTCTGTGACGGTTAAATGAAGAATTTAAGCAAAAACAACGATAGAAGCTGAGGAAATGTGTTTTCTTTTTGAAAGACAATGCACCAATTTCAAAATTGGAAGATGACGGATATTTATTATAAGTTTAGTGTTTCAGTGTGCAGACCATCTACATTATTTATCAGATCTTGTTTCATGGGATTATTTCCTGTTTCGAAAGCATAACAAGTATTTGAAAAGTGAGGAAATGTTTGAATGTTTCGGGGACGATAGCTGCAACTGAACAGTGTTTTATTAACCGATCGTTAAATATTTTATGAATCTTAAGCAACAATCGACAAGGTGTGTTGAACAGCAGAAAGAATTTGTGGAATTTCACGTGTGTTTCATGACTCTAAGTCATTTCTTTCTTGGGGTCGGGCTGAGAACCTTTCAGTATACCTAAGAAATATTAATTTGGTGCAGATATTTCCAGCGTTGTCTAGATTAAATTTATTTTTCATATAAATCATTCCACTTTTTGTTTGATTATTGATCTTCAATTTTTTGTTGATGCTATTAAAACATCGTTACCACCGATCAATGTTCTTCATGTGTATGATTTGTCTTGAAAGAGAGGTTTTGGTTTTTTCTTTTTTTTTTTTTGAAAAATTATATATTTGAAGAAAGAGCTAGAATTGATAGGCCGAAGCATTATGTAACATCAAACATAAAGAGAGATTTCAATTGCCAAAAAGTTTAGAAGTTTTATAATATCTTTTCAAGATTTATAGTATAAATATTATTAATGATTTTTTTAGCTTTTTAACCTAAGAATAAAGTCCAATGGTTAATTCACACGGACCATTTACTCTTTTAGTGTTGCATTGGAGTAACGTTTTTTTTTCCACTTTCTAATATTTTTGATGAAG